TAAGAGGTGTACAAACCCCCAATAAAATGATTTATTAAACAAACAAAAGGGGCACTGAAGTCGTCCAATCAAAGTAAAAACTCAGAAATGTCTAGAGAAATTCTTAAAAAAGAAAAGGGAAGGCTCAGATTATGCACCTGGTTTAGTTTACTCAGTACAACGAAATTTGAAAAGGCATATTCATTCTTCTGGACCAGTGGTTCACAACCTGGGGTCACGGCCCCTTTGGGGGTCAAATGAGCTTTTCACATGGGTCACCTGATTCATAACAGTAACAAAATTACAGCTATGAAGTAGCAACGAAAATAATTTTATGGTTGGGGTCACCACAAATGAGGAACTGTATTAAAGGGTTGCGGCATTAGGAAGGTTGAGAACCCCTGGTCTAGACTAATAGACACATCCTAGCATACCCTAACCTAGTATTCTGTTGACATTACCTTCATTAGAGTAAATAACTGCATTGCATTTCCAAACCTTACAAACCTTAGCATTACAGTGGAGTCTAATTAGTGGTATAAATGTAAAGGTTTAACAACTGGCTGCTGGGGGAAAAATTCATGAATATATATAAATATACACATGCATTATAAACTTTACTGATATAAAGAATGTGCAGAACACAGCTTATAATAATAAAGTATACATCACTATTTATTGCAAATCTCATGCAGCCACAGCAGTTGTATCTTAGATGGTGCCTCCCAAGATTTTAAGATCTCAGATATTACTCACCAAGCTAGGATGTAGAATATAAACTTTAGGAACTAATTGCACTGTGGTAGTTACATAATCTATTGTCAATTTGAGTTAAGGGGTGGAGTTTAGCCTGTCAATCAGGTCACAGCTTGATGACCTCCTTTAGAGGCGCTAAGGAGATAAATAGCTCTTGGAGGAGAGACACGTTGTCGATCCTTGTGAGACAAGCTTGCTGACAAGACACATGGAGCTATGTTAGAGCCCTGGAGCTGAAGAAGCCATGCAGAGACCCCTTCCAGCACTGAGATGTCCCTACCACCACTGAATCCACAAGACTTTCCACCCACTGGCCTGTGATCTTCCTGCATTCGGCACCATAGCATGTGTTGTGTGAATCTGAAGAGGAATTTATAGATTAGTATCAGACACATGGGTGAATATCAGATTTATGGACTTGATCTGAACTGGGCTGAGATGTTTCTCATATACAATTGCTCTTTTACATAAAGCTCTTTCTTATACACATTTGTATGTTTATGAATTAGTTTCTCTAGTCTACCCGGACTAACACACCAATCGATAGAGTTGTACTATAAGACTATAGTCCTATGCCTTCAAAAATAGAATGCTAATCCAACAAAGTGTTTATTCATGTCTGAGAAATATACTTAGCTGTTTCACTATGTGGTTTAACTTATGTATGTGAATATATACATATATACATGTTGCACATGTATATATTTACATGTAAATACATCTATATGTATACACATATGCAGGCGCATACCCATACCCATACATATGGTTATTGTTGTAAGATTGTATTTGCTATATCTGTTATATTCTCTATTGAAAGCCTCTTTTTTTCTTTTACTTATTTCTCTTCTACTTGTAATATAATTTGCCTGGGTCAAGCTGTGCACAATTCACCCGTATTTGATATAACTTTTCTCATCACCCCCAAAAAACCCCACCCAATTGTCTGCTCCGTTCTCTCTTCTGTCTTCTTATAAACGTGAGGTCATGCACCATGAAGATCATTAAGCCTGTATTGCTATTAAGGTTCCAGGTAATGCATATATGGGTTTATCCCAAACAACATACGTTTGAATGTCTCTCTTAATGTCCTCCAGATCCATCACTGTACGATGGCATACATGTTCTCTCAATAATACACTTCATCTCATTCAGGTGCCTTCAAAAACCCAGTCAGTTGCTTTCCAAGGGAATAGGCTGATCCAGTGAAATTCAAGCATAGAGGTCAGCTCCGAAGGTTAGGGTGGCTTCTGGAGGGGTGGGACTGGGGGGCGGGGGGAGTACCAGGGGATTAATCTTGATAGATTTTCTCTAAGGACTTTAAGTTGTACTGTAAGACTATAGCCATGTGCCATCACAGGAAAATTATAGTGTTAATTATAAAGAAGTTATAAGAAAATGAAAAGCTGTAATGGTGAGAAAGAGGTCAGGAGAGTTGTGCCAATACGTTTTTTCCCCCATCACAACAATGGGCAGCAGGGTTTGTCCTTTGAGAATATCCTTGGGAAACTTTACCTATCCACCCCTATGGCTGGGTCTTGCCTCTTCAGATTTCTTTCTGTTTCCCAAACTCAAAGACCATTTCAAATGAACACAATTTATGTTTCTTAAGGATGCCCCAAAGTGGGATTTTGAAGTGGTGTGAATCAAAGAGCTGAGAATTCTGGGAGGTGGGTTGGAGAGACGAAAACACCGCTTTCAGATAAGTACGGACTAGAATGAAGGTGTGCAGATAACAATACCTTCCTATTTTGTTAGTTTCATTTAATAGAGGTTTATTTTTATCATTTTATAGCAGTACTTTTTGACCTTTACCCTCATGTTTGCCCTGTTGCAATAGTCTCATTTCACTCAGAATCGTATCCTCCAGATTGGTCCATGTTATGTTTAGAGAACATTAATCTTTGTAGCTATGTGTGACAGTAGCCCTACCCAACCCCCTCTATATGCTGTTTATCTTTCCACAGTTCTAGTTACTGGAGGTCAACTCCCAGTGGAAATTGTTTAGCAGATACTGTGATGAACTCTTGTATCAGTTGCTCCTAGTCTCAGGGACATGAATGAACTCTCTTGCTGAGTGCATTACCAGGGTGCACATGACCTGCCATTCGGTTATTGTTAGTCCCTTATTGTGCTTAATTTATAAAGTAGAATGTATCATATGCATGTATAGGACAAAATGTAACATATATAAGATTTCGAAATACCCGCAGTTTCAAATGTATCCCCTGCAGAGCAGGGGAGACTAGTATATTCGGTTGTCTGGATGTACCCCACTGTGTTTATCCATTCACCTGTCGATGGGCATCTAGGCTGTTTCTATCTTTTTTTATTGTGAATAATGTTGCAATGAATGTTGGAATGAGGCCTCCTACTTTGCTCTTCTTCAATATTGAGTGGGACATTTGAAGCCTCGGTCTTTTCCATATAAAGTTGTCAATTAATTTTTCATTTTTGATGGAAAATGTTGGGATTTGAATTGGGATTGCATTATATCCACATATTTCTTTATTTTTCATGATAGTAAGTCTACCAATACATGAGCCAGAAGTCCTTCAACGTATTTGGTCTCTTTCAGTTTCCAAGTGTTTTATACATTGTTTTTTAAAATATGTCTTCTACACCCCTGATTAGGTTTGTTCCTAGAAATGCTATGTTAGGAGCAAGTCTTACTGTTTTTAAAGTTTTATTTCCTTTGTGGATTTATCCCTGTTAGTATCAAGAAGCCTAAATGAGTTTTGGGAGTTGATCTTATAACCTGCAATATTGATGAAAATAAGACATACTTCCAAGTTTATTGTAAATTATCAGCATTTTCCAGCCACTGCTTTAAGTATGGGAATAAATAAAATGAGACAACAAGCCCTGATGTAGAGCTTTTACTGATTTCTTTGATAACTTCTGGTAAATATCTATGTGTAACAGTCAGCAATTTTCCTGGAATTTTGCCGTTTGGCCTTCATGAGCCAGAAAGGGTCACTTGTAGTACACTGAGTTGCAATCCTTGTATTTTGAGCTATTTTTGTGTGTGTGAGAAACCTTTACCTGAACATGAGGCACAAGGGGAACATGTCTTGCAGTGTCTGGAGCCTTCTTTTCTGGAATGAAAACTTGGCTGTAAGTTTGCATTTGACCTAGAGATATTGTAGATTTTAACAAGTCAGGTCCCAGTCCTGCAGCATTTCAGCTGCAGCCTCCCCTACAGCCACAGATAACAGTGACGTGTGACAGGTAAGCAGCCAGTAACAGCAGCAGGCTGAGCTTCCTGCCCTGGTGGCTTCCAAGTTTGAACTTGAGAAATGTTTTTAAGTTCTATTTGCCGACAGTCTTTATGGAAATATGACTCACCCTCTCACTACCAGTGACCCTTCAGGGCAAGATAGAAATCTCCCCGTGGATTTCTGAGAGCCATTTAAAAAACATATTTGAAAAAGAAAACCCAAAGAAATGTATTCTTCAGCGGTAAGTGGCCTCGAGTCATTGTATCGTGGGTATTAAAAGACAAGTGACGTAAATTCTCATTTTTGTATTATGAGGAAATATTGTCCAATGACCGAAGGAGAAACTTTCTAATGAATAGAGGTTATTTGTTCCCATAAAGATTTATAGCCTCAGAAACCCAAAGAGACACTTCTACTCGCCAGGGGAGCTCGGATGCTGAACCCGCTTGCTGGCCGGCTGTGGTTTGGGTGGGTTGGTTAGTTTCTCCTTGGTTGTGCTGTCAGGTAAGCATTGGGTTGTTAGCCACAACGTTGGCAGTTCAGGCCTACCAGCCGCTCCACCGAAGAAAGATAAAACCATCTGTTCCCATAAATATTGACAGCCTTAGAAACCCTATGCTGTCTTGAGTCAGAATTGGCAGTAGGTTTGGGTTTTTTAGACGTGTTCATTTTTTCATTAAGGGTCTGAGGATGGTACAAATGGTTAGCCTGTTCAGTTGTACAGTGAAAGGATTGGAAGGTCCCGGGTGCCCACCAGCACCTTAGAAGAAAGGCCTGCTGATGGTTCCAAAAGTTCAGTCGCTGAAAATGCTACAGAGCGTAGTGCCACTCTGACACTCATGGGCCAGCGTGAGTAGGCACTGACACTGCAGCAAACGGATTTAGCTGGCATATGTCATTAAATCAATAAGCGACTAAAACCTCCTTGAGAGTTGCTTTATAGTATAAATCATTTAGGTTTCTCAAAAGTAAATTCCGTATGTAATGGCGAATGGAACAGGTAAAGAAGTAGACATGATCACATGAGAAATGCTTGTTTTAATTCCATCTTGATGTAGCGTAACATATTGCATGTCTAGAAGCAAGGCTCAATGAGCACTGAAGAATAGCAAATGAAACAGAGACTCTGCTGCCAGCAGTTGGAGTTGTTTTTCATAGGCTATACTGGTACAATAAAAATGGGTTAAAATACAAGTCGTGTACATTTTGCAATTCTGGATTGTTTCGAAGTGTTTCTGTCATCATTCTCTTACCATTTTCTGAAGAACAGGCCTTAGAGAAACAAGCATTTTCTCTAACTCCATTGATTTACCAGTTTGAAGAATGCTATGTGAAAAACAAACTATATTCAACTACAAAGGTGAAAATACACAAGGTCTTCATCTATTTTAAAATTTCAGATTCTTGCTCAGCAAGATAGCAACTCCATGAATGTAGACTTCTTGATTCACTCTCTGTTTAAAAGAGGAGGAACATTTGGTTATTATATATTATAAAGTGCTAAGTAATATGATCACAGAACTTTATTGAATTTAAATAACAAGTAATCCTTATTCTACTGAGAGGCATATCGTGAAAATTACATTTTGCAGATGAGAAAATGAATTTAATTGCTGCATTTAAATTCTCACGTCTAGTAATTGACAGAATTCAAGTCGAATTGATGTTCTTGAGGTCTAAATTCAGGTTTCTTTCCATGGTACCAAATGGTTATCATGCCCAGTAATTGGACAGGTTCTATAACCACATCTAACTATCTTTCTTAGTCACCAGAATACCTGAGTAATTGTTCTCTGAGACATCATGCTTCTGGCTTTGTGTCACAATAAGAGGAGGACCACAACTCCAGGAAAGCCAGCAGAGTAGAGTCACGTGTGATTCCTGCAGGCTGTTCTGAAAGGTGCTTTGTAAGTAAATGGGCAATGGTTCCCAATTCATGACCTTGCTGCGTCTTTACCATGGAAGTGGCTGTTGCTGGCGTTTGAGACACTTATTCTCTCTATAATAATTTTCTATAGGTCAAATCTATTCTATATTCAGGAGGGAAGAATGAGAAGATCTCCTGTTTAACTTATTCAGTCTTTTATTTATTGCTTCTTTTTTTTATTTTTAGATTTAGAGACTATTTTTCACTGAAACTAGTAGTATATTGAGAGAAATCAGTTGCTCTAGTCCAATGCCTATACCATTCTATAAAATATAAAAGTAAGATCTTAATTTTGCCTCATTAAAAGGAATTCAGTAATAAAATTTTATGACAAAAATTGGACTGCCTTACAGATAACAGGTGACATCTCTTAACTAAGAATGACATTTGCTCATCGGTTGGGGTTTAAAAAACATTAATAATATATTAGTAATCTTAATCTGTACTAATCTCATCACAACCTAGCAGCATTGTTTTGGACGTTGTAGTAGATAGTGCACCTGTCCTAGGCTCACAGTAGCCAAGGCAGCCACTGTCTCTCCTTAGTGGATATATACAACCCTAATTACTTAGATTCATATGGGTGGCTTTTTTTCCTTATCCAAAACTCAGTCATTTAACAATATAACGTATATAATTTCTTTAGTGGATTCTAGAGCTTACCAAGGCATCTCTATCAAATATGAAATGAAAGTGGGAAATATTTGATAATTAAAATAAATACCTTACACGATATTCATCATAGTGTCTCTCACACAGTCGTTTCCAGCTTTTAATTTGCAGGTCCGGGCCTCACAGCAAGAATTAGCACATTCCTTAAAATCACATACAGAATGATGGAGCTGAATTATGCATTACTCTCCTCCCAGACAAAGTTCACAGAAATTTGATACAAGATGTCAATAAAACCCCACTTTAAAAATTATGTTTCAATGCCAAGAAAATGACAAAGATAAAGTAACAATAAGTTAAACATGTTGTAAGTAGTAGAAACTAACTTTCCAGACTTCAGGAAGAGAATTGCAATGAAATACCACAAATTAATTTAGATATTACTAGTAAATTTATTCTAATTTTCCAGTTTATTTTACCAAGCCCATACAATCTTGGTATTTAGAAATGATCCCAGACACATACACACAGATAGAGAAATAATTCTTACTTGTCTGTTTATACATAAAAACTTGAATAAAACACCAGTTTAATCAATATAACTCTCCATTACCACTTTTTAAACTAAAAATTAAAAGTTGGCTCGATTTTACGAAATAAAGTTATGCAATTCACTGTAAGAAGTTAAGGAAAGAACTGATATCTGATGCCTGAAATTTTTCAATTGATAAAAATTTAGTATCCATTATTGAATTATTCAAGTGCATAAAGAAAACTAAGGATAAAATAATAAACCATCATAAGAAAGAAAATCTATGTAATCAGTAGCAAAAATATACCCAATAAAATAAATAATAAGACAAGGATTATCTATTTCTATATTTTATGGACATTTCAGCAAATACTAAGTGTCCAGGAATATATATGAAGGCATAATAATTGGAAGGTATAACCATCTTTGTACTATTTATGTACAATACAAATCTCTCGGTGGAACAAAAACAGAGGGTCAACTTTAAATATATTAGATGAGTCACTAAAAAATAGCTGTTTACATGAGGGGGGGGTAGAGGGAGGGGATAAAGAGGAGCCAATATCAAGGAGCTCAGGAAGAAAGAAAATGTTTTGAAACTGACTGTGGTAGCAATTGTACAATGTTGTTTGATGTGATTGAATTATGGAATGTTATATCTGTAAGAGCACCCAATAACAATGAAAAACAAGCAAGCAAAGAAGTCAACAAGCACTCTCACACACACAAACTCACCAAGTACAATCTCACAAAGGGAGTCACCAAGCACTCTCTCACACACAAACTCATCAAGCACTCACACACATTCACACACACACACATCAAGCACTCTCACACACACAAACTCACCAAGCACTCACATGCACAAACTCAGCAGCACTCTCTCACACAAACTCACCACACGTGTGCACACACCCCCCACACAAGCTTACCAAGCACTCCCACACACCACTGAAGAAGCACACACACACATACATACACACACACAGGAACACAAATTCACCAACCACTCTCACACACACAAACTCACCAATCACTCACACACATTCACACTCACACACAAACATCAATCATTCTCACACACAAACTCACCAAGCACACATACACACACACACACACACACATATCAAGCACTCAGACACAAACTCAAGAACACACACACATTCACACTCACACATCAAGCACTCACACACAAACTCACCAAGAACACACACATTCACACTCACACTCATCAAACACTCTCACACACACAAACTCACCAAGAACATACACACACACACACACACACAAATAGCTGTTTAAAATAATATCAACAAAATCAAAACAATAGTAATTGGAATATAAAATAATAAGGAACATACATACATACTAATGGCAAAATTAAAAATAGAAAAATACTTTAAGACAACCCTTTATGTGGTACAGTAGCCACATAAATAACTTTATAACTTTCCTAACAAATTTTCAGGACAATTTCATTGTTGTTTTTATACATACATAATATTGTAAAAATTTCAGTAGTTTTAAAATTAAAATACAAGTTTAATGCATTTTACTTAGAATCTATATTGCATGTGGGGAAAAACTGACCAAAAAAAAACAAACGTATAACAGCACAAACATAACAACCAAAGTATATGGAAGAAAAAACACCAGAATTGCTCTCTGATATGCAAATTCTACATAAAAGGCCCATAAGGACACTTGGCACTCAAGATACTAAAGTACATTATAAAGTTACTATCATAAAATCAGTGTGATGATAATATGACAATATCTAAACAAATCATATACAAGAATAATAAAATGGCATATGTGAGTTATCAGAAACTGTATTATTTAATAAGCGGTACTGTAAATAAGAATGTATGTAACACTTTGATTAAGAAAGCAAAGTCATTTAATAATTTAGTTGTTCATAAGCCTGAACCTTCTAGTTTTCTTTAACTTCCTAAGAAACAAATCAACAACTGACTAAACAATGAAGAAGTTAACTATTATGCTTCAATAAAATTAGATCTTACACATCGTATAGGTAGTAGTTTAATTTAACTTTGATCACACACTGATTCCATGCCACTCACCTACTAAAACTAGAACTACCTAGGGTTATATGAGTATATGGATTCTTCTACTCAAGATACCATCTGAGAACACCAGTAAATACTCAGTGAGGAAGCAAACTCAACTGAAATGATTAAACAATAAATCATTTAAAATGCACTACACTTGTATCTCACTCTTCTTAACAGAATATTTGTACTATTTCTCAAAAAATATTGTTACTCTAAATAATCTAATATAATCCAACTAATGAAATGTTCTGAATAAATAAACGGTGACATAGAGAGGGGATATGCCTTCCCCATTGTCAGGAAGCCGCCTAAAGCAAAAGCTAAATCTCTGATTACAACGGGCTTCATTGATTACTAGCTTTGTATCTTTGGAAGAAGTTACTTAACGTCTCTGGATTTAATTTTTCTAAATTGGGATAGCAATACCTAGTTTTTAGCTTTATTTTGAATAATAAATAAGGTAGTGTATGTAAGCATTTTAGAGTGCCTGAATTGTGAAGACTCTTTGCTGACTCACATGTTTATCATTTAAAATATTTCTAAAAGATTGTGAAGATAATATAATTTCTTGTAGAAACGTGATAATGGCATTGCAGCTTGAATTCTGTGAGACATTCTGAAGGTATCTAAGTTTTCAAATATTCAGAGAATTATAATAATTCATTTAGATGGGTAAGTTAACCACCCATTCTTTACAAATCTTTTTTATTGTTTTGTTTTCTCCTTCTCTGTTTTATTTACAGATTTGTTTACACATTGACCCAATGATAAAAGAGCACCACATTTTTTCCTCTGAGTGCTCAATAAATAATCATTTTGATTTTGTGTAGTTTGGAAATGCCTGGATAGCAGACCTAGAACTGCCTTTTAAAAGATGACCAACATCAACAGCACAGAGACAATTGTACGTTTACATTTTCACTTTGATACCAATTTCATTTTTTGACGGAATTGTCAAAAGAACATTTAGAAAGGAGTTGGGGGTGGGGACTGCATATTTCTTATGCTCTAGTTAATCTCTAATAAATATTTTAAGCTTCAGATATTTCCATACCTTAGGAGAGCCACAATCGCAATCTTCTCCAACTTCCAGAAGTTTGTTCCCACACACTGGCATTGTTATTATATTTTTAGAAATCGGTGCTTTCAGGATGCACTTAGGTTTTTGAGATAAAAGGTACCTTTGAAAACGTGTGCGGCTGGTTGTGCTGAAATCCTTCGGAAACTTTGAACTGTGTCCAGAAGAAAAGATGAGAAATAACATAATAGGGACTGCTATGGCTTTTGCATCAAACACGACCATGAGAATCTGAATTCTCTAACTGGACTTACTATTTGGTTCAGTGCAACTGCCAACGTTGATATCAACAGCACTTTAGTCTCTGTGGAGGGCAATCAAGCATGCATACTATGGTAGCTTGAAAAAAAATATGTTTGAGACATTCTGTTTCAGAGCTGGAAGAATTTTAACCCCCGTAAGGATTCAGTGCTGTCATAAATGGCAAAGGCGATGAGCTATGCCATTTGCGATCTTCCATAGGTCTTAACACCGTGTGACAAGACATAAGAGACTTATGACCAATTTGAGAAAATAATTCCAGGTATATGGATGTTGTGGACACATTTCTCTTTTAAATGGGGAGTGCTTCAGGGACAAGGTAGTGTGGCTCATGTTTCTACCACAAGCTTGTGAACTGCCTGACATTTCAGTTCCACTGAATGGAGTTCAATGTGACTCCTTAAGAGCCTAGAAGACAGGAGTGAGCTGCTCTATAGGCTCTGAGAAGCTGCCTGACTCATCTTTCTCCCAGGAATCAGCTGGTGGGTCCAACCCACAGGTAGCCTTCTGGTTATCTGCCCGACATGTCACCATTGTGCCACCAGGACAGAAGTTGGCAATTCATAGATATGCAACAATTGCTGAGGATGTATAACCATGTCCTAATCTTAATTATGCTCATATTTTAAAAAACGTATTCTTTTAGGATAAGATAACATGGCCATCATAGTGATAAGCCCTGCATTGTCATCGCTGGAAGTCTTAAAGATGAAACGTAACAGCAGGCGAATACAATGAGCGGGATGCAGAACCCTCCGTGAAACACAGCGAGCTCACGGAGGTTGACTGCATCTGGATTCCCTTGGTAGTGGTTTTTCTAGGGTGGAAAAATCTTACCTCAGATACTGATTCATCACACAACTTCCAGAAGGACATTTGGTGTCATACGGGACATCAGGCATTCCAAGGACATGGCCCAACTCATGGGACATCACCGCAACCAGAGCCACATTGTTCTTTCTTATGCCCTGCAGCAGAGTAGAAGCGTGCATTACTTCTTTGTGTTGGTCATCCACTTCTTAAGTATTATTAATGTGCAGAATGAAAAGGAAAAAAACAGTGTTCAGGGTGGAAGATAATGAGTCACTGGGACCCTTTCTTGGTTGTATCTTATTGCAAAATGTTGAATGAACATTTGAAATGGTGACATCTTTCAAATCCAATCAGTTTTCAACAATATTTATTGAACTCATTAATGGATAGTAATGTCTCATTAAACTATGGTTAAATGAATTTATCGTATATTCCTTATAGGAAATATTACAATCGAATGTAATATAGACGCACAGGTTTCAAAAATATATTCAGATGGTGCCTAGGGCACCTGTGGTAGCTGGTCATAGGATAATTAGTCATCGGATAATTAGTTACTTGTCTGTACTCTGCTCATCAAGACAGGGAACAATATCGCTAACTCAGGCCACAAAGGGCATGTGGATCCTGTTTTGTCCCAATTTTACAGCTTTCCATCCTAACACCAAGTAAAGAGTGATGCCTTCTGGGAAGGGCAATGCAAAAAGGTACCGTGTTTCAAAACAAAAGGAGTATTTGGTGAACAATATACCTGGAAGGGAAATTGCACCTTTACTTACTTATTTAGCAAGCGTTCATTCTCCTACCTCTGTATAAGGCATTATGCTTGCTTTCAATGGAAGATGTAGAATGAGGGCTCTTGCTAAATTTACCAACCTCAATAACAGCTACTGAAGATGCAGCGCACAGGGAATTTGAAGCTGCCATTCCTACACGCCGATTGCTGAAGGCAATCCCACTGCATGACATTAGAGAGATGCTGTCACAATTTGAGTCTTCAAATCATTCAAAAGGAGGAAGAAGAAGAAGAAAAGGAAGGAAGGCAGAAAGAAATAAGGAAAGAAAGAAAGATAGCTCCCTGCCATGAAGTCTATTCCAACTCCCAGTGATCCCATAGGACAGGAGAGCACTGCCCTGTGGGCTTCTGAGCCTGCGAACACTTTATGGGTGTGGATAACTTCCTCTTTCTCCCCAGGGGCATCTGTTGGTTTCATCAATAACCTTTCAGTTAGCTACCCAATTGGTAACCACTATGCTACCAGGCTCCTTTCAGAACCACTAATTCCCACCAATCACTGGCTCCCATCCATCGTGTTACAGATTTCCCATACTGTCCTCACCTTTTTATATTCACTGTGGTGGTCAGATGCCAACCAGCCAGTTCAGACTCACAGCCACCTTTGCCCAACAGAAACACTGCCCAGCCCTGCAGCTGCCTCACAGCTGCTATGTTTGAGCTCACTGTAACAGCCACCCTGTCCTTCATCTTTGGAGAGTCTTCCTCTTCTTCACTGCCGTCTACTTTACCAAGCATGATGTCCTTGCCAGGGACCGGTCTTTTCTGATCACATGTCCAAAGGACATGAGGCAAAGCTTTACCCGCATTCTGGCTGTACTTCTTCTAAGACAGATTTATTTGTTCTTTTGACAGTCCATGGTACTTTCAGGGTCTTCACCAGCACCATCATTCAAACACATCAAGTTTTCTTTGGTTTTCTTTATTCAGTGTCCAACTTTCACATGCACATAAGACATTTGAAAATACCATGGCTTGGGTCAGGTTCATCTTAGTCCTCAAAGTAACATCCTTGCTTTTCAACACTTTGAAGAGGTCCGTGTAGCAGATTTGCCCAATGCAATGTGTCATTTGATCCCTTGACTGCTGCTTTCATAAGCACTGATTCTATATTGAAGCAACATGCAATCCTTGGAAATTGCAATCTCTGTCCTATTTATCATGTTATCTATTGTTTCAGTTGTGAGCATTTTGGTATTCTTTACCTTGAGATGTATCCCATAATGAAAGCTTCAATCCTTGATCTACATCAGCAAGTGCTTCAAGTCTTCCTCAGCTTCAGCAAGCTAGGTTGCGTCATCTGCATACCACAGGTTATTAATAAGCCTTCCTCCAATCCTGATGTCAAATTCTTCTTCATACAAGCCAGCTTCTCTGAGGATTTGTTCAGCATACACACTGAGCAAGTATCATGAAAGCTTTCCCATATTCTGCCTCTTGACCCATGTACAAGTTCTATAAGAGCACAATTAAGTGTACAGGAATTCCCATTCTCAAGCCTATTCATAATTTTTTATGATCCAGAGTCAAGTCAATTGACTGCATGGTCATAAAACAAAGGTAAGTATACTTCTGGTACTTTCTGCTTTCAAACAAGATCCATCTGATGTCAGCATTGATACTGCTGGTTCTAAGTCCTCTTCTGAGTCCAGTCTGGACTTGTGACAGCTCCCTGTCAATGGGCTACTGCAATTGTGGCCGGATGATTTTCAGCAAAATTTTACTTGCATAGTTGATATTGTTCTATAATTTAAGCATTCTATTGGGTCACTTTTCTTTGGAATGGGTATAAATATTGATCTCATCCAAATAGCTATCTTTCCTTGCCTAAGTAAATAAGTGCTTCCAGTGCTTCATCAGCTTGTTGAAACATTTCCATTGACATTCCAGCAATTCTTGGAGTCTTGTTTTTGACTAAGGCTTTCAGTGCAGCTTGAACTTCAGTACCATTGGTTCTTGCTCATCTGCTACCTCCTGAAATGGAGCCCTGGTGGTGCAGTGGTTATGTGTTGGGCTGCAATCTACAAGGTCAGCAGTTTGAAACCAGCAGCAGCTCCTCAAGAGAAAGACCGGGCTTTCTACTCCCTTAAGCAGTTACAGTCACAGAAACCACAGGGGTGACTGTGAGCCAGCGTTGACTTAATGGCAGTGAGGGAGGGAGAAATGGTGGAAGGTCGACCACTTGTTTTGGGTACAGTGACTCTGTGTCTTCTATCGTCTTTTAATGTTTCCAGCATTGTTCATTATTTGCCCACAGAATTTATCAGTGGAAACTTGAGGCTTGAATTTTTTTCATTTTAAGATGTGCTGAGCATATTTTTCCTTTCTGGTTTTGTAAGTCTAGGTCACTGCACTTTTCATTATACTGATCTTTCTTTCCTATCTTTTTTCCCCCCATTTTACAGTTTTATTGGCATATAATTCACAAACTATACAATTCAATAATTCAATCATATTTTGACTTTTGTTTCATATTGTTCACATACCGTACCATTCAATCATTTGATCACATCAAGAAGAGTTGTACAATCAGCCCCACGATCAATCTTGTAACATTCTTTTTCATTCTTATACTCATTATTAGCTCTCCACTTCCGCCCAACCTCCTCTGCTGTATCCCCAAGGAACCATTAATTCAGATACTGTTTCTATGGTTTTATCTATTCTGGATTTCATACATAGAAAAACATTTTAATAAAAAAACAAAAATGGACAACAATAACAAAGTAAAACAGAAAAACTCAGTAGAGAATATTGAAAATTAGAACAAATTAAAAATGGATCAATAGGGAGATCCAATGATATTTCATTTTAAAAATTTTTTCAATTTAAGTTGAAATGAAAAAATGAAAGTCTTTCCTATCTTTGAATGGCCTTTTACTTCCTTCATGTGTGATGTTCTTGATGTCCTCCCACAGCTCCTCAGGTCTGCTCAACATTTAGATGGAATGTCCTCAAAGTTGTAGTTTGGTCTCATAGACTTTGAAAAATGTTCAGCTTCTACCTGAACTTATATGGGAGCAATTGGTGTCTGTTCCACTGTCTGCCCAAGGTCTGGCTTTAGCCACCTGTATGAGCTTCTCCATCATCTCAGCCCACAGTTGCAGTCAGTTTGATTTCTGCGTATTCCATCTGGAAACATCCAGGTGGACATTCATTGTTGGGGTGGTTGAAAAATGATATCGGCTATGAGCAAATCATTGGTCTTGCAAAATTCTGTCATGCAATCGTCACTTTTGCTTAGATCACTAAGATTATGTTTCCAACTGGTGTTCCTTTCCGTTTGTTTTCAACGTTTGCATTACAAATGATCATCAATGCAACCTGATTGCATGTCTGATACATTTCAGACTCAAAACATTGGTATACGTCTTCAATTTCTTCTTCCCTAGCTTTTGTGGTTGGTACATTAATTTGAAAAATAGTGTATATACCCAGTAACTCCCAAGAAAAGATTTTCCTGTTCCACAGCATTATAATGAATCCACATGATTGGTTCCCCTCTAATTACATGTTTTTTTAAAAAGATCTAATACCTGCCTTCCCTAATCTTACAAGTGATTCTAATAGTAAAACGCTTGAACTCTAGGTGCTCTAAAAACTGGCTGAGAAGATAATCCCTGAGATTGTCTTCTGACTGAGAACAGAAAGTCCTGCTGCCACACCTTCAGGATCGCTATCCATGATGCTCATATAGTCAGTCCTAGAAAGCATGTGCTCACCTCAGGAGCTGACTGTGGTCATGGATCTTCTTTTTCACCAGGTTAGAACGATGCCACTTCAGGAAATTGTGAAATGTAGTTCCTACATTGGGTACCACTTTTATCTTGTCCGCATCAGACCAGATTTCCATACCTACCAAAGACACTTTAACATCGATGGTGTTATAAATCTGTGAAAATAATATTTTTTCTTTATGAATATTAGGGATACTTTCAGTGTGTTAGCTCTTTTGTTGGCCATGGACCCTATTACTTTCACATATGTTTCAATCCATACCAACTCTACGGGAGAGAGTAGAACCCCAGAGGATTTCCAGGACTGCCCCATCTTTTTCCCATGAAGTGGCTGCTAGATTTGATCCACTGATTTTTGGTTAGCAGCTAAGGAGTTAACCACTTCACTATCAGGGATCCTTTTGGTGATTACAAATGGTAGATAAACAAATCCCATTTTGAAAATGGGTTGAATGCTGAAATAGTTTATTGTGCCAGCCTGGCCGATAAACACAAGTGGGATTAACTGAAGGGCAGAGAGATAAATGCCTTGGTGAGTCTCGCCTTTCTTGTCTCTCACTCATTGATCATCGGACCCGTGTGCAGCTGCCTTGCTTGTCCTGTGCCTCAATTTAAAGGCTACACTACCTGTGGGACCCCTAGCCTGTGGACTGTGTCGCTGTAAGTTGAGGTCCCTTTAGGACATCGCTGGAGCTGGGGACTGGCAGTTGGTGACCTGGCTGGCAGTTGGTGACCTGCCTTCTGATTGGCTGCTGTGCTGACATAGCCTAGCTCTCTCGATAAATAGAGGAAGATCTGGCAGCAGATCGGACTTGAAGGACTGCTAGTCTCTAACATCTCTCTCATGGCAGTGAGTTGATTTGAGCCATTGGTAGTGTTTTATAACTTAACTGTTTCTTTCTTGTATTGTATATTTAACTGTATATGATTTAACAGTTCATTCCTTGTTATATATCTACTTATCTTTATAAATAAATATATTAAATTATCAGCAATTTGGTTTTATCTCTCTAGAGAACCCTGTCTAACACAAATGCCTTTGCTACAAGAGATGTGATTTTACATTGATGTTAAACTTGTAACTCCACAAACCCCTTACTTGGTAAAATTATAGGGAAGACCCTGACTCCAGTGGTGGAACAAAATTATACACGACAGATATCTTACCACATTGAGAAGGTTCATCACATCAAAGATAAAACTCCTTATTAAAGTTAGATTTCCATTATATATATTGTACTATAAAAAAAGCAAAGTATAGTTAGAATCTCAGATTAATATGAGAAAGGTAATAGGCTATAGAAGTTCACATCTTAAGAAAACATTTTAATATCATTAAATATCTGTTCATTCTGAAGCCTCCCTTATGTGAGATTCTGTTCCATACCTTTTATTTCAAATATGTGATTTTTTCAGAAAGAGAAAAAATAATATAGATTTTATTATTTTTATCATCAATAAATTAAATGCCTATCCGTATTATAGTTAAACCAATCTGTATTATTAAAATTTGACTAAAACTGCAACACTTGCCAGGTAAGAACACTGATTCAGAATGTTTTCTCCGTGTGGCTGTTGTTAGATACAGTCACGTCGTGCTAACTTACATTGGCCCTATGTTTAGCACAATAAAACACTGCCCAGTCCTGGGCCAGCCTTGCAATTATTGTGAGGTTACATTGTTGTGTTTGTAGTTACATAATATAGTGAGAATTTTGGGGGAAAAAGTGAAAGGATTCATTTTTTACCATTTTGCTGTTGATTTAACTAGCTAGTGATTATCTAGGTGTCAGCCACCACTCTGTGGGAGAAACGAGAGTTCCGAGCTCAGAAGCTAAGCAGGTCAGTAAAATGAGACTGGTGCCCTGTGAAATGGAATGGCTAGGAAACCCTGTCCTGTGTGTGGTTGCAATGAGCGGGAATTGACCCCACAGCAGTGGGAGATGAAAGAAGGAGAAGGGTGCGTGAACCCCACCCGTTGCTGGTCCCCAGATAGACTAGAGAAAACCGGGTGGCTAAGCTCTGTTTTGTTAACTAAAATCGTTGTTTACTTTCTTTGAATAAGAAAACGTAAGAGTTAACTTAATGGTCCAGAAGTGTGTGCACATTTCATATTCACAAAGGCTTCGCCAACAGCAGAAAAAGGCCACATAGAGTTCATACTCACAAAGGCGTTATCCAGCACCAAGAAGAGATCAATGTATTTCTCAGCCTCGAGAAAGTCCTCTTGCTTTGCAAAGAGTTAAAAACATGGTTAATAAATGTTTACCCTGAAACATGCAAAAACTTACAAAGAAAGGCTATTTATATATACATATGTCTCACTTTGAAGGAAAATTGAATTGAAGAAAAAGTAAAGCCATTGCTGGCTTCATATTTACCAGTCACGGCGAACCTTAGCAGTATCCTATTAACATTTTGGGATCATTTAAATAAATGATGATATAAAGAAACTGTACTCACTTCTGAGCTATTGAGTGACCTGGGGGTTCGGATTAGGCCTCGTTTCCTTCCAACGTTCCTCACGCCACATGTGCGATGAGCTGGATCAAAAGCTTCCTGGTTATCTATGAAGATAGCATGTTCTTCCTGGTCTGTGCTCTTCAGAGGCCTTATCATGAATCTCTGATCCCGATGTGTGAAATACCCCCTGTAAAACAGAGACATTAGTAGTTCAGGGACCCCTACCATTCAGTCATCTAACCTGACCAGTCATCGGCCTTTTAGCTAACCTGTGCTAATTTAAGTACTAAATAAAAAAGAGTAAACTGAAGTCTGTCTTACTTTCCAAAAGAACTGTAAGGAAGAATTACTGAGGTTGCCTTATATCACAGGGTTTTGGCTTTGTACTATGAGCTATGCAAATATTTTTCCGTAATCTATTCACTCATTCAAAAAAATCTATCTTGCAAGATCCAGCAAATGTAATAGGGAACGTTATAGATACTGATAACTCCAGAGTGGGGGGAAACGCTTACCAAGTCAACCAGTAAAACAGAGAATAAATTGTAAGTTAAAGAATTCCTCTTTCAGATCAGATAATTGATCTAAAGTCAATCCATATAATGGAATATCATAATGCCAACTAGTCATTAAACATTGCCTCTATGAATGTATTTTATGATTTGGGGAAAAGCATATGGAATCATGTTACACATGTACCACGTTGGAAGAATACTTACATATATTTTACTTCCCATTTAAATAATTTTAAATGCAGTAAAAGCTACTGTAATGATAATATGTTATCCATAGTAATAAAACCAATAAAGTAATCCAACCCCAAACCAAACTCATTGCCATTGAGTCCTTTCTGACTCCTATTGACCTTCTAGGACAGGGTAGAACTGCTCCCCTCCCCCCACCCCACCCTCGTGGGTTTCTGAGACTAACTCTACAGAGATAAACATTTGGGGTGCTTGTTATTTTCCTGTTTGCTCCTCTTCTTTATTTTCCAAAATTTCCCCTAAATGTCGAGGATTCGTTTTCATGAACAGAACAATACACACAGTCATCCATACACATACACACATACATTAAATTCATTTGGGGTTATTTCAGGGTAGATGCTTTAAAAACATATAGCATGTGGTTTCAAAGAATGGGATGAGCAATCATGGGCATAGATGCAAGTGCCCTCAAATCAGTTGTTCAAAAGGACTGGAGCTGTCTTTGGCTACAGCAGCAAATTAGGAAATGAGCCGAAGGATGATGTTTTACAAAATGATCTTGGTGATGGTCAAATTTTATCACAACAGGAACAAAAATAAATGTTCATAAATACTTAATTCTGCATAACAACAAAACATTTTTTAAGCTGCCTCTCACCTCAGCCCATCACAAGTACTGATGCTGGCAACAGAGCCTTTTGCATTTTTGATATGCCCTCCATAAAAACAGTGTTCCTGGAGAAGGATAAAAGAAAGGCTGTTTTAGATGCTTTTATTAGTATTACTGTATTATCATACTTGTGGTCAGAACTGTCATCTGCAGTAGTTAGCAAAGTTCTTCAAATAATGGCTGTGTCCACACCAGTTTCAGAAGACAAAAAGCAGTGCAAACCTCAAAGTTTTCTGGAATCTCTATATTTGGTGGCTGAGCTATCTTTTGGATGCTAGATTGTACGAAGAGGTGAGGGTAGGTGTGGGGATGGTGGCATGTAGGGAGTTTGAACCTAAGTTGGCTCCTATTAAAAATGGAAGCTGTAGCAGGGAAAGAGCCAAGTTTGGGGGGACTTAACGGTATCCTGGAAATGTCTCCAGTTTGGATGTAAACTTTCAAGGATTTAGTTCTCTGTGTTGACCCTGAAAGGACCCCCGCTGTTACGCTGGTTAAACGGTTAGCTGCACACCTAATGGTTGGTGGTTTGAACCCACAGGGGTCTCCAATAGCCTAGGCAATTACAGCTGGGAGATCCCGGGAGGCAGTTCCACTCTGTCCTTCGGAGTCACTGGGAGTTAGAATTAATTTAATGTTACTATGTTTATAAGGGGCTGAATTTCAATGCTATTGTGCATTCACATATTAGTGAAATAATCCTGTTTATTGGGGAAAGTATTTCCAAGTGATCAATATAATGATCCAGGAGAAGGAAGGTTTTTGGTTGCTTGTTGAAACACACTACTTAGACGCCTCCGATTTCTTCTACTTTCAAAAGTATATCCTGGGTTCATTTGTTGTTGTTGTAGTCCTTTGCTTTCAGATGATTTTATTTTGTGTTGTGTTGTTTTCAAGTTTTCCGCGGACCTATGAATCTTATAAAGTAAGACCTTAGGGGAAAACAATCTCAAAAATGCTTTAGACTCTACCATGTCCTGAGGGATCGTCGAGGTCTCCTCCCCTCTGGGTGAGTAATGGGTTTCAGTGTAGTCTGGTCCCAGTAGATCCCTGTAGAAAGGAGAAAGCAGCATGACACACGCAAGTGGGTACAAAGGCTGATTTGTGGATATCACCTTTAGCACTCAAGTCACATTAATGTCTATCATGAGAAACAGTTGCAATTCTGGCCATCATCTTTTTTCCAATAGTGGAACTCTCCTGCAGAAGCAATTGAAAGCATGACTTAGACGAATGTTACATATGAGGAATATCCATTGCCTTGGCTACTCTAGTTTTAACTTCCTTATCTTTTTTCCAACTGGTTCATCTGAGATCCTCTTGCCACCAGGACATATCCTTCACCGAATCAATGAACGGTCCTGGATGACAACGATACATGAAGGACGACTATATTCAGGGCAATGTTTACTGACTACTATAAGAGTTGATGGAGCGACCTGGTAATATGCATCCCTAAGTCTTTGCATCCCATATTCACCTTTTACATGTTTTTTTATATACATAATGGAAAAGTAAATTAAAAGTTTGATTTTTTTTTCTCACCACAGTAGACAATTGCAAGGAGTTTTAAGAAAGAAAGACATTTCTATTAAGATTTCTTGGTTTTACACTTGCATATAATTTATTAGGAAAGAGTCAACCTTCGTGGAGAGCATTAACACAAACTGTGGACAATAACATTGACAATTCAATATGCTTTGTGTGTCTGACTCCAACCATGTTGATTAGAATCCCGAGACGATTTGTTTTTCCACATCTTCTTAGTAGAGTCCAGTGATGATTACATTATCAGATGATGTAACTTACTTTGTTTTTCGTAGGTGAAGAACGAGTTCTTCTCCATGTAATGTAAACTGATATTGAAGTTCCGGCTCATATTCTTCCTAAAAATATTTAATGGTATGATTGAATTAACACTCAATGTTTCTGAGTGTACATGAATTATTATGGTATAATAATAAAATACTATATGAGAACAATTATACAAATGCATGTAAGACCATTACATTCATTCTCTTGTCTTTAAAAACCTGCAGAATGAAATGTATAATGTAAATCAAGATAACACTTCTAAAAAATTGCGTTATTGTTATTAAACACTTAAAGATTAAACTAATGTTATGTGCAAAAGACGAGGACTTATTATATATCATAATAGATCTCTAATGGAATAAAAATAAGGTGTATTTTCTTTATTTTGAGACCAAACACACAATGCTAAAGAAAAAAGGCTGGAAATCTTTTCATCTTAAGGTAAAAAATGACACAACATGGAAATATTTGCAATGATATAACACATAATGAAACAAGAGATAACAATGTCCTTAACGGTGTTTAAAAATCTTATAATGAGATAATGTTGAATTATTGAGATAGGGTTAAATTATTGAGATAATGCTGAGCTATTGTCTGTTACATAAAATAGTTACACATTTAAAAAAAAAAGATAATTTATGGGTGGCCTGGCTAGGGATTTTGATGAGTTTGGCAAGGAACAATACTTCTTAGAGAAATGCCTTCCCATCCTGTGAGCCTTTTTGATTTTTACTTTCATAAATGTGGGGAATAGCCAAGAAGTCTGCTCCTGCTGATCAAGTGAAGGTGTTAACTCCCTGTTTGCTCCTTCCCTTAGTACCACTGGCCAAAGAGGAGAAGATCCATGGGCTCAAAGATGTAATGAGTAGTTATTGTTTGTGATGTCACTTCCTTTAGGGGAATTCCTTGTTTTTTCAGATGTTTGTAAAGCTTACAATTGTCAATCACAGCGCTCACCTGTTTGCCATGCTCCTCTGTCTTTATTTCCCTTTTGTGTAAAATGTGTAGTTTCTGAGGACGAACCACTTCATAGAGCTGTAGTTCTGTTGTTTCCTTTTTGGTGATTGCTAGAGAAAGAGAAATATTACTGAAAAGGGGATTTAAAAATGGTTCTATGTTAGTGTGCTTGTTGTTGCTGTTGTTAAAAGGACAAGAAGACTGAATTCCAATTCACAGAACAAAACTCAAGAACAAATTTATCATCAACTTGAACTTGGATGACATAAAACTGTTCTTTTCTCTGATCCCCCAATTCCGGCAAGGTGGGAAGATGACATGACAAGTCCTGAGATGTTCTCCGGAAATGTGAATTCTGTGCAGAGGTTGCGAGGCCCTGGATTTTGGTCTGCAGTAACCCAGCCCTCATAGGAGCCCTGGTGCCATAGTGGGTTATGCATTGGGCTTCTCACTAGAAGGTCAGCAGTTCGAGACCAGCAGATGCAATCCCAAAGCACCATTTGCTCTGAAGAAGAAAGCTGAAACTTTCCTATAAAGAGTTACAGTCTCCAAAACCTATAGGGGTGTTGTTCTATACTGTCCTATAGGGTCAGTGTGAGTTGGCATGGACTCGATAGCGATGAATTTGGAACTTGGGAACCCAGCCTCTCCCCGTTATAGTTTCTTCACCAGACTCTGCTTATAGGCTGGCTCTGAGTCAGGATGCACTCGATTACAGTGTGTTTGGTCTGGTTTGGGTTGTCTCCAGAGAGTTCAGCGTTCTCTTTCAGGGTCTTTCCCCTCAGCGGTATCCCCCTTGACTCCTCTCCACATACTCTTCGGAAAACTCACCTTGCAATTATTTCAGACTTTTTTCTGTCCTTGCTCCTGGATACTTGAAAAAAATTCCTCCAGCAAAAGGCTACAAAAATATTTCTTTGCATATGAAATCTTGCAGGCAAATCAATGAGGAAAAGAGCATAGTAATTGCTTGCCACACTGAGTGAGGAATGAACCACTGCTAAGAGGATATGAGGAAAACCCACGAGAAGGGCCTGTTCAGTGGAAGCAGCGAAAGGTAGTCAACTTCTTTCTGGACGTACATTGAAGGTCGCAGCAACAGTGTTTGTAGGGTGTTTGATGGAGAAAGAGAAGTCCAAAATAACTCACCGTTTTTTTGCCTTTTCTATTTAAACTCTCCAGGAAAGCTGAAGGCACAAGAGCGTTTCAGGGGAACAAAAATAAAACCACAAGAAGAAGAACGCCACTGAGATGGCTGAGGGCATCCAACTCCTAGTGAGCACCAGGGAACCAGATTCTGGGTAACTTGGGTCCTCTGGAATTCACAATTTCATCTAAATCAGAGCAATTTCAGTTATATTTTAAAAGAATGTGAAGGGGCAATCATAAGTTCTATCTTTCAAGTAATGTACTAAGAGCTTCTGCGAGGTCTCTGGGAGAACGAGCAAGAATAAAAGTACAACGGGCCTTTTGTTCTTCCAAGTCTCATAAAACCACTCTGTTTCTCTCTCTGGTTCGAAACTGTGCTGCAGTACAATTCATTCTCACAGACACTACCCTGCCTTCCTTCTGAGAGGCACTTGCATTGCTGCTCAGCCGGTAATTAACATTTGATTTCATAATGTTGAAGTTATGTCTATAATCAAAGATTATTTTATTGCAAGAGTCTTCCACGTGGGACAGATTAGCACCACCTTACCTTTGTCTTCTGTGAACCTCAGTACAGCCTCTGATTAAACCATGTCTTTGGACAAATAATTGTCTCCCCATGGGGGTGAAAAGATCGAAGAATTTAAACTCTACTTGAGATGACATTGGACATGTTTAAAGAGTTTTCGTAAATAAATTGACTTAGTCTCTTGTCTGAAAGTTAGTTCCAGGATGCCACTTTAGGCTGTGTTTGAGAAAACAGAACACACAGATAGTAGTGCCGATGAATAGGAGGTGACGTTTTCGAGGCATCTGCACTAACATGTCAGAGGGCTTTTAAAAGCTCTTGGGAAAATGAAATTCAAAATTAAAGCGGCGATTTCCTAGTTTTGGAAGTCTGCAGGTTTATAACATTTCGTCTTAGCAAAATCAGTTCTCAGTGCTACAATCAATGCACTTAGCTTATTTTTTCATAAACGATTTATAGTAGTAGCCAATTGATTCATCTATCAGTAAACATGAGCCTTAAATTAAAAAAGCAGTGATTTATCTTTTAGCTAGGATAATTCCATTTAGACCTTGCAATGCCACATGTGAGAATCTTTCCTAGATAAATATCCCAAGATAGAGATATTTTAAAAGCCTGTGGAAACATGAATATTTTGTTTTGCTTTTTCCTGAAAATAATAAACAAACAAACAAACAAATAAATAACACTGGTTCATACAATTGGGAAAATATGCATCTATAACGTTATTTATTTGTTACAGTATAAAGTAATTTGAAACGTTCTGAAGGGTTTTAGAACACATGTTTTATACAGGGTTTTGAAGGTTTTAGCTCACACAGTCAGCGTTATGTATCTAGTATACTCTTTTAGACAGTGTTCCAAATGCAAACCGTGTTGATCCTTCGGTCAGGAGAACATGTTTTGTTTTTTTTCTCTCTCTCCATCAGCACATTTCTATGATCTGTAAATAGTTCATTAGGGGTACTTTATAAAATAAATGAGAGTATTTGGATTTTATATAAACTGTCCTCTATATCAAAGATATTAAAGCTTACCTTGGGCTTGAACAATGAGGCAGAGTATGGAGATCAGGACCAAAGCCATGATGGCTGCTGCAGGTAGCTGAGAAGTTTCATTCAAAAATGAAGATGTGGCCCCAGAACTGGCTACTTTTATTCTCCCCTACTTCTTTCTTGAAATAGACATAAATAATTATCCTTCCAAATCATCATTGAGTGCTTACCGAAAGTTTCCTCACACTGTTGGGAAATGTCCAAGGACTTGCAGTGTAAATATCATGAGAAAGTTCCTCTTTCCCGAGAGAGGTTTATATGCAGGATGCTGGTCAATGCCTTCAAGCAGCTCCAAGTCATGGAGAAAACAGGCGGAGGCTTTTATTGCTTGATTGTAGAGACGGAGTCCAAATCTTTGGGCTGAAACTGAGATGCTCACATTTGCATCTCACAAATCTGAAACATCCTTATGGATATAGAGGGTCTTGAGAGACACTTGCTCACAAATGAACATATCAGCCTATACTATACACATTTTTAGAAACTAGCACAGAAAGCTCAGACTCTTTAAAAGAAGCATAAACCGGTCTTCTCTTCCAGGATATTGCAAATCTTTCTGACCCGTCTCCATGTCTGTGGGAAGGGGTGGTGATAATGACCTCTTTATACTTGGAAAGCTGTAAAGAAATATGCAAATGTATCTATCGTCTCCTTAGGGTTCACACTGGATATGGTGTGTAAAGCATTCCTCTTTAAAATATCATATTAATCTTTCATTTTAAAAGAATGCATTTTCATGGTCATAAATATTGAAAAGTATATTGAGGGATAATGTTGAATACCAGGGGTTCCAACATCCAAAATTGACTTTTGTTAACATTTTGGAAGTTTATCTCTTTCCTGTGTACTAATAAAGGAATATTGGATTTTGTGAACTCAGGATATTATTGCATATAGAGTTTGCTGAACATCAATATTTTTCACATTTCCGTATAATATGAACATTTGAACCCTTGGACAGTACATTGTTATTCATGTCCTTTGAATATTGCACTTTATGTGCATGATTTGTGAGTTAGGGTGTGCGTATATTTCTTTGATTGCTCTTTTGTCTATTCCTTTAGGATAGGAAATTCCCAGATAGGAAATTCCAAAATCATTGGCATATATTGACCTTGGTGCTTTTTGGAATAACTGATACAAAATTACATTTGCATTTATGCTATTTTTCCAGTATCAAATCATTTGCCTTTAAACTTCTGAAACTGTAATTTATTGATAATTTAGGGATTTTTCCAGACATGTAAGTTTTATAATTACCAATATACTACCATTAGTTTTATTCTTCCTTTCCTTGAGTTCATTGAGCCTCTTCCCATAACTTTGCACTACCTTTGCTGACCTAGAAGATATATGTTCTACTTTTTTACTTGATGCCATTAAATTTTTAACAGAATATACTGTTAATTGAAATCCCTACCACAAAACTGGAATGGTTTAAATCTGATTATATAACCCTTTACCACCTTATAGTATGTCAGGTATTTTAATTCTACCATATTTGACCACATGCATTATTATTATTATTGATATGATTTATACAGATAATGCTGTTTGGATTTTTCTCATAGGTTTACCACTGTGTCTGTTCTCAGATTATTTTAGCATCAACCCTTCTCTTTAAATTTCATTTCCTGCCTTCTGAAACACATTCTTTAATAATACCTCCACTAAAAATCTCTTGTACAGATTTGCTTTAGGCATTGGGCTGATAACTCTAAGGTTGATAGTTCAAACACACAAGTTCTCCTCCAGAGAAAGGTAAAGTGACCTGCCCTCTTAAGTTTTACAGTCTCAAAGCCTGTATAATGCTGCTGTGAGTTGGAACTGACTTCATAGTGGTGGGTTGAATTAAGTGTGGTATACGGTTGCTGTGAGTCGCACTCAACTTCATAGTAATGGGATTGCTTTTTGTGGTGCCTTTTTTGAGGACATGGTGATGGTGATGGTGTATACCAAGTACTTACATGATTTTGTGTGTGTGTGTGTTTTCTTTTTCTGAGTATATTTATTTTATCACAAGGTCAATGGTTCAAACCCACCAGCTTCTCCGTGGGAGAAAAGTTGAGACCCTATGCTCCTTTAAAGATTTACTTCCTCAGGAAACATGAAGCCCCCGTGTGCTTCGGAACGGACTCAATGGCAGTTGGTGGATTTTTTTTTTAATGAGACTTTGGCTGGGAATGGAGTTTTAGGATGATGAATAATATTTCACAGCACTTAAAAGATTACTTTACTGTATTTTGTCAATTATTTTTGCTGTTGAGAATTCTGCTTAAGGACCTTAATTTAATTTAAAAAATAATTCTACCACTAGTATTACCATGAGGTCCTTCAATTTATTCAGAATTTAATTAAAAACTTATTCTGCCACTAGTGTTACAAGTTCAGGTCCTTCAAGGGGATACATGATTTGATGTTATCTACTAACTTAAGATTTGTTGATTTGAACTGAGTGGCACAAAAGAAACAAAAAGCAATAATTTCCATAAAGAGTGTAGTCAAGAAAGCCTGTCATACTCTGAAACACATGCAATCACCATACATTGGCATCTAATCAGGGGCGGAGATTTTTTTGGGGTAATTCAGTTAAATATGTATTGATTTCAAATCGCATTTGAATTTATTTTAATTTCATGCTAAATATCTAAGAATTATAAAATGGCACATTCTTCCCTTTGGCGGTAATCTTGTAATGTAGCCTAATATTGGAGAAGTCAGAGTCACAAAGAAGTTCTATACAATAAGCATCTTTATGGTTGAGGTTTGTGTGTTGTGTTTTAGATTTGACATTTTATTTGATGGGTGGAGAAAGTCAGATGATATTAGCTGGAATAAGATAGGGACATTGATATGCTCCTTCTTAGACTTTCAGAGAAAACTATATGATAAGACCATGGCTCTGTAGAACATCATGATGTGCTTTTGGAACTGAACTATATTGCCCTTGAATTGAACACAATGTATACACATAAAATTTGAAACATGTTCAAAGGCCAAGTTATGGAGGGACATATGTTAATGGTCTTAAAAGAAGATGACAAATAGTTGAGAAATATTTAGCTCGGAAGATTCTTGTCTTTGCTCATTGTTTGGATGTAGCAAGCGAGAAAGAGAAAGGAAATCAAAATTCTGGGTTTCGACTTGAACACCTCATGATTTTACTGATGACACCTCAGAGTGGTTGATTAGTGAAGACTGCCATTTAGTTAACCTACGAAAGGCAGAGGGCTTCAGAAGTCCAGTACCTTGAGTATAGTCAAGTTTCAATTAAAAAAATTGAAAACCGAATTCTCTGTTTGAGTTAATGGTGCTGTTTATAAACTAGATAACTAGCAGTGTATAAATTACAAGTGTGAAAATCGACGTGAGGGGGTTGTTTACTGGATGCATCTGGAGCGAGTGAAAAATGGCAGGCATATGTATGAACCCTTGGGAGTACAACATTCAAGGTTGGCCGAAACTCATGACTTATTTTGTGGTCATAAAACTAAGAAGTCATGATCAACATCCTGACCACAGAAAATTTTCTTCTCATCAAACTTAACTCTGACATTCTGGAATGTTCCATCTAAAGTATATGTGATGATAGGGGAGAATGCTTTATTTATTTACTTGAGTGGGACCAAAAATCATTTTATTGCACTGGGAGGCTGGCGGCTCAGCACTCCTGAAACTGCTTCTTGGTGCCTGCAGCCTTGGTGACCTTGGGCACGTTGAAGGGCACTGTCCTGCTCAGGGGCTGGCACTCGCCCACGGTGACAATGTCGTCGATCTGAATGTCCCTGAAACAGGGGGACAGGTGCACAGACACGTTCTTGTGGCGCTTCTCAAAGCGGTTGTCCTTGCAGGTGGTCTCGGTGGATGACAGTGGTCCTCGGCACATTTATCTTGGTCACCACGCCAGACAGAGTCCGCCCTCGGATAGAGATGTTGCCAGTGCAGGGGCACTCTTGTCAATGTAGATGCCCTCAATAGCCTCCTTGGGCATCTTGAAGCCCAGGCCAAGGTTCTGGTAGTAACGGGGAAGCTTCTCCTGGCCTGTTCCCCCATCAGGGCCCTCTTTTTGTTTTGGACGAGGGTTGGCTGCTTTTGGTCAGCACACTCAGTCTGAAAGTCTGCCATCTCCCCGGCTGCTTGGAAAAAAGGGGGCTGCGAAGGCACCTGATTTCCTTATTGGTTACACAAGGGTTGGAAAAGTGCTTAAGTACTTTTTAATTGGGCATATTTGCTGTACAAAACCTCTTTGGAGTATTGGAAAACAAGGATGTTGCTTTTAGGACTGAGATGCACCAGACCCAAGCCGTAGTATTTTCCATTGCCTCATGTGCATGTGAAAGTTGGACATTTAATGGACAGAAGAATTGATGTTTTTGAATTGTGATGCTGGAGAAGAATATTGAATGTACCATGGAGTGGTAAAAGGACAGACCAACGTCTGTCTTGGAGGAAGTACAGCCAGAGTGCTCCTTTGAGGCATGGATGGTGAGACTTTGGACACATTGATTGGAGAGACAAGGGCTAGGAGGAGGACATCATGCTTGTTAAAGTGGAAGGGCAGCAAAAAAGAGGAAGGCTCCCAATGAGATAGATTGATGCAGTGGCTGCAGCAATGGGCTCCGGCATAGGAAGTTGTGAGGATGGTACAGGCCCGTGCAGTGTTTCCTGCTGTTGTGAATAGCATGATCGCTATGGGTCAGAACTGACATGTAGCCCCTAACAACAACAATTGAAAATGAAAATAGAATGTCGTTGTCGTTAGGAGCTATTGAGTCCATTTGGATGCATAGTGTCCTCATATGACAGGTATTGTTACTTATAAACTGTAAACTTTACAGGAGACCTGTTAATGGATAAGAGTTATGATAATCCCTTACATGTGTAAATTCCTTTACATTTAATTCAGGGTTTTCACATACATTATTTTGTCTGATCCGTAAAACTAAATAGCCAGTTCAATAAATGCTATTCCCATTTAATAGACAACTCAACTAGATTAACTTCAAATCATTGAGAGGGATTAAGTGTCCTGTTGTTATCCACAAGGTGAGCGTGCTCATA